CTCTACCACTTGAGCCACAGCGCCACTTCCGACTTTTTTCTTTTTGTTTATGTGGTGCTGAGGAATCGAAGCCAGGGCCTCATGCATGCAAGGCAAGCGCTCTACCACTGAGCCACCTTCCTAGCCCATGTGAGACTCTTGTCTCCAGAAACCACCGGAAAACTGGAAGTGGTGCTGTGGCTGAAGTGGTAGAGAACTGGCCTTGAGCCGACGAGCTGAGGGACAGCACCCAGGCCCAGAGTTCAAGCCCTCGGACCAACAACAACAAAAACAAAACAAAAAAACCTTACACAGAACTGGTAAACTGCCCTTCCTGAAGAGGCATTGCAGGCCACTTAGAACTCTGACAGTCTCTGCCGCTTACCACTACTCAGCAGTTTTGCTAGGTTGACTGCTTGTTTTCTTTAGTCCTTTAATGGCTGCCCGAAGAGTGGTAAAAGGGAGTTTATAATTCAAAAAGTATTTTTCCTTGACTCTGGGGTTTATTGTAAACTTAGTATATTTACCTTTTTAGTAGCTCTGTTAGATTAATTGTCCTCCATGTACACCCTGAGGCCCTAAAGAAACCAGTTTTAGGGACTGGGAAGGTGGCTCAGTGGTAGAGTGCTTGCCTTGCATGCATGAGGCCCTGGGTTCTATTCCTCGGCACCACATAAGCAGAAAAAGCTGGAAGCGGCGCTGTGGCTCAAGTGGTAGATCGCTAGTCTTGAGCTGAAGCGCTCAGGCCCAGAGTTCAGGCCCCACAACTGACAAAAAAAAAAAAAAAAAAACCCAACAAACAAAAAAACAGTTATAAAGAAGGGGTGATTCTTTTCTTTTTCTTCTTCTTCTTACAGGTCTGATAGATTACAACTTCCACTGCTTCCGAAAAGCTATTCATGAGGTTTTTGAAGTGGGTGTGACTTCTCACAGGAGCTGTGTTCACCAGAGCAGTGTCCCCAGCTTGAAAGCGTTGGCACACAATGGCACACCACGGAATGCCATCTAGTCTGAATCTCAGCTGCTGAGGCTTGGTGCCAGCTTACTCCTCACTCCAGGTTCAGATGCCACATGCTACAGGACATGGGAGCTGCTGCTTGTGGGAGCCTAATGCCTGTCTCACTAGAGACGAGGCATAGAGTGTCTTATTTGGATGAAAACCTTTTTTCAGTCGGCAGTGTACAACTGAAGCTACTATTCCTTCCTTCCTTCCTTCCTTTCCTTCCTTCCGTCCTTCCTTCCTTCCTTCCTTCCTTCCTTCCTTCCTTCCTTTCCTTCCTTCTTTCCTTCCTTCCTTCCTTCCTTCGTTCTTTTAAAAAAAATTTTTAGTTTTTTATTCTTTGAGGCCTCAGAACTCAAATAGGTCTTTCTTTTATTGGTCCTACTTCAAGTAATTGGATATTTTGGACCTGGAGATAACACCAGTTACCTATCCTTTTCAGGGAATACTGCTGTCAATTCCAGCTGAAAATAATAGAAAAGAAAACTGAATTTTATGTGCTTCCCTTAAGTTTTTCATTTAATTAGTTCCTAAAAACCCTGCTTTGCTTACCTTCTAACACTGCCTCTCAGATCTCAGTTTGGGAATTGTATATGTAAGACCTTTTAAATTCATTCACTTGCTCACTCAGAAGATGCGTCGTCTGAAGCAAAGGACATTCCTGTATTTGTGAGGAAGGAATGAGAGATTTCTGTGCCGCATCGGGTGGAGAGCAAGGCTCAGCACTGGCTGCATTGGTTCTCCTGGAAGTGTTGAGAAAAAACTTTGAAACAAGAAAATTTTTGCACCTGTGTTTTGGGTACCAGATGTGTGGGTTCTCCTGCACTTGATAAGTGACCATTCACAATGTAAACAAAGGGAATTTAAGACAAAATAGTTTTCCCACAGTCCTCTAATAGGGGAGAAACTCATGTCCCTGAAATACTCAGCCCATTTTCTTTTAACCTTGATAGCAACTTCTGCATCCCTTCATTGTGAGCTATCTAGATTCTTTTAAGAACTGCTGTTTGTTGACCAGGAATGGCCCTATGGCACTGGTGGACTGTCCACTGGGGTTGGAGAGAGTGTGGTGCACAACTTGTGTTGTTTTACACTGTGTCTCCAGTATTTTGACACCACGTGTCAACAACTGTGGTACTTTGCCTAGAGTTTGAATTCAATAACTGTTCCTTTTTGTTGATGGTTGATACCCCCTCCATTGATTTAACCTTAAACACATTATTTTTATTCCACCTGCTCAGTCAAGTATATTCCAAAGCCACTGGACCACTTGAGTACATAAGTGCCACTGTTGAATGAGATCTATATATTCAGGTCTGTAACCTAACAGTGTGACTTGGAGTGCTTCCTGCAAATGACTCTGACTGTTGAGTATTTACATGGACCATAGTGATATCCAAAAGAAAAATGCTTTTATATTTATAGATTATTTCATTGAACTATATATAAAATGGGTATCAATAAATGTATTTACTCCAAAATCAGTTTTCATCCTTGCCTAAGGTACGGGAGGGTGACATGATAGAATATTGGGTTGTCTCACTTTGTTTTCCATTTCCTGTTCTTTTGCTACCTTGTGTGGTTAACAATCTTTCTGTTTCAGGACTTTAAGGTTCTGAGAATTCCATGGTCTTTTTTTTTTTTTTTTTTGTCATGGGGCTTGAACTCTGGGCCTGGGCGCTGTCCTTCAGCTCTTCAGCTCAAGGCTAGTGCTCTACCACTAGAGCCACAGTGCCACTTCTGGTTTTCTGAGTGATTTATTGGAGATAAGAGTCTCATGGACTTTTCCTGCCCTGGCTGGCTTTGAACCTTGATCCTCATATCTCAGCCTCTTGAATAGCAAGGATTATAGGCGTGAGCCACTGGTGCCTGGCAGTTCCATGGTCTTGTGTGTAGACATCTTCCCTTGCCCAGGTGAAAATGTGTTTTGGCTGGGTGTTTGTTATCAAGAATCTTCATTCCTGGGTGGGGAATGTCAAAGCCTAGCATGGCTGATGTGTCTAAGCTAAGGAGTAAGAAGATAAGTAGAACAGGACTAAGTAGAGAGTACCGATTCCAGTTTGGTTGTGTTTATTAATCTTTAAATGTTTATGGAAATACGTTGGTGGTTGGCATCTAAGGTGATATGGGAAATGTCTTCACTAGTTTATCATCCAGGAGGTAGAGGTTGAAAGTTATTTAGTTAAATCATTGGGACTGCTTTAGAAGCTAAAATTTAAAACTCTTGAAATGGACATCACAAAATCAATGTGAGAGTCTCACGGTCTCTCCTGCCCGGGCTGGCTTTGAACCGCAATCCTCAGATCTCAGCCTCCTGAGTAGCTAGGATTACAGGCGTGAGCCACCAGTGCCCGGCGAAAAAAACCTCTTTAAATACAATATATATCCTTTTTTTGGTGCTCTTCCTAGGGCTCGAACTTAGGGCCTATGTGCTATCCTGAGCTGTTTTTGCTCAAGGCTGGTGCTGTACCACTTGAGCCACAGTTGGACTTCCAGCTTTATTTATTTATTTAATGGGTGTAGGTAGTTGGAGATAAGAGTCTTGAGATTTTTCCTGCTTAGGCTGAATTTGAACTACGATCCTCAGATTTCAGCCTCTTGATTCTGTATCCTTTTTAATGCGAATAGGGGCTGGGAAGGTGGCTCAGTGGTAGAGCGTTTGCCTTGCATGCATGAGCTCCTGGGTTCGATTCCTCAGCACCACATAAGCAAAAAGAAAAAAGTCAGAAGTGGCACTGTGGCCCAAGTGGTAGAGCGCTAGCCTTGAGCTGAAGAGCTGAGGGACAGTGCCCAGACCCAGAGTTCAGGCCTCACGACCGGACCGCCCCCCCCATCCAAAAAGAATCCTTTTTAATGTGATAGAAACAAGTCTAGAGAAGTAAGAGCTCTTCTGAGGGCTGTAGATAGGCTGGTTGGTGTTTGGTGTAAAATCCAAGTCAGGGCACTGGAGAGTGGAAGGATGCTGTTATTCCTGAACAGCAAGTACAAACTGACACTATCCCAGGTAAGCCAAGGGTGGTTAAGCTAGTCATGTGTATGGCTAGTGGCAAAATTGGATTTGGCCCAGTACTGGCTAATGCTTAAAATCCTAGCTACTCAAAAAACTGAAATCTGAGGATCATGGGTTAAAGCCAGTCTCGGCAATAAAGTCTGTGAGACTTGTATCTCTGCTTACCTTCCAAAAAGGCAGAAGTGGAACCCAAGTAATAGAGCAATAGCCTTGAGCAAAAATGTTCAGGGACAGCTTTCAAGCCCTAAATTCAAGCCCCAGGGCTGGCACAAAAATTTTTAAAAACGAATTTGTACTCCAGATCTGGCAGCTCTGTGCTGGCTTTCCTCACATCTGGCTTCAGGCCTCCATTGGTTAAATGGAGATATTACTTAAAGTCATGTATAGTATAGGTGCTGTGCTATATGACTATAATCATAGCTACATGGAAGGCTAAGGCAGCCCAAGAATAAGGCTAACCTTGTCCACATCCCCCTACTCTGCCCCTTCATCTCTCCAAAAAAGATCAGTAATAATCCACCTGGTACATAAGGCCCAATAAATGCCAGCCCAAGCAGGAAAGTCTGTAAGACTCTTATCTCCAATAAGCCACTCATAAAACCAGAAGTGGCACTGTGGCTCAAGTGGTAGAGTGCTCGCCTTGAGCTGAAGAGCTGAGGGACAGCGCCCACGCCCAGACTTCAAGCCCCATGACAAAAAACAAAAAACCCCAGATTATGTAATTAGGTTTTGGTAGCAAGTGCAGAGTATGGTAGTTTGTATTATCAGCTACCCAGGACGCATAGTTGAAGGTTAGCCCAGGTAAAAAGTTAGTGAGACCTTGTCCCAACAAATAAGTCTGCATGGTGGTATAGGTTTGTAATTCAAGGCTGGCCCTGGGTAAAAATGTGAGAAACTATCTGAATGGCTAAGGAACAAAAGGCCTTGGGATTTTATCAAGCAGTAAAGAACCTATTTAGTAAGTGGAAGGCCGTGAGCTCAAACTTCAGTACTGGAAAAAGAAAAGAAAGAAAGGAGGTGCCTTGTTGGTCTGGGCAGCATTATGTCTCATCTGTGGTGTCCTGTTTCTTAACTTTTTGCCTCTAGGTGGCGGTGTTGTATTATGTATTGCAGTTTTCTGTCTTCTGCGTTCTGAAAGTTGGGATCGTAGGTACTATCAAGTGCACACCTGAGAGGTACAAAGAATTTCTGAAGTTACTTCCTCTGGGATGATATTCAGGAGTGATTCGAAACATTTAAATAGAAGAGGAGCAGTTGGCTGTTTTCTCTTTTTAGCAAGGAGTTAGGATAAATATCATATCACTATTTACTATATGGAGTTCCAAAGGGACCGTAAGAAGACAGGTTCCATTCACATCCCAATAGCAGGCAGAATTTCTTGCTCTCTAAGGTGTGTGTGTGTGTGTGTGCATTACAGACTGCCGTGGAAGAAAATACTACATATTTAAACAAGAATAATGGCTTTGTTCACTTTGCTTTGTCTTAAGTGAAGTTTGGTACAACTATTTCACTCTGGGTTGAGAAGTAGGATACACAGAAGGCTGTGGCACTAGGTCCCTTCCATAGTATTGGCTTTTCTTCTAGAGCCACATCATGGCTCTCCAATCCTTAACTACCTTTGTTCTGCAAAGGCAAATTTTAACGTCAGAGGGAATAGATACACCAATGCGTTTTCAGGCTTTTTTTTTTTTTTTTGTCGGTCGTGGGGCTTGAACTCTGGGCCTGGGCGCTGTCCTTCAGCTCTTCAACTCAAGGCGAGTGCTCTACCACTTGAGCTACAGCGCCACTTCCGGTTTTCTGGTGGTTTATTGGAGATAGGAGTCTCACGGTCTCTCCTGCCCGGGCTGGCTTTGAACCGCGATCCTCAGATCTCAGCCTCCTGAGTAGCTAGGATTACAGGCGTGAGCCACCAGCGCCCGGCATTTTTTTTTTTAATCATTCTTTTTTTTTTTTTTTTTTTTGTCGGTCGTGGGGCTTGAACTCTGGGCCTGGGCGTTGTCCCTCAGCTCTTCAACTCAAGGCAAGCACTCTACCACTTGAGCTACAGCGCCACTTCCTTTCAGTCTTGTTTAATATGTAACTGGGAAAATGGCAAGTGGCTATTGGTATAAGAGACTGAATAGCAGGAAACTGTTCTTTTTCCCATTTCAAAGTGCCTAATCAGGGCTGGGAAGGTGGCTCAGTGGTAGAGCCCCTGCCTCGCATGCATGAGGCCCTGGGTTCGATTCCTCAGCACCACATAAGCAAAATGAAA